AAAAAGAAAATAGATTGACTTTTCTAACTTAAAACATGTTAAAACAAATGTTATAAAGAGAGCAATTTTTTAAACATTTGTTTTTAAACAAAGAACGTGAAAAATGAATTTGCCTTTAAATACAAAATTACGGAGGCAAAAGTATTTCGTAAAAGGTTAATTACATCCTAGTTGCTGACTGAAACTTAAAAAAAAAAAAGAAGAAGAACTTATTTTACACTTTGGTTGTATGGTATCTTTATGTATTTGACTTTCTTATACAACAAAAGTGTAAGTGGTTCAGACAGAGTTGGAAAGGCTTATGAAAGGCAAAACAGCAATTCCTGATTTGCTGGAGAAACCACCACTCTGTTAATAAAAGAGGGCAGCGGTTATAACTGATGTTAGAATTTTCCGTGTGACTATGTGTTAGGAAGGAAACTATTTTCTTTCAATGAAGAAAGTTCTCTATTTTAAAAAATCTATTTATCCTGTTCTTTCCTGAGCCAATCAATACAAGCTACTCTTGTTGTAAGACGTTTAAGTTCTTAAAATTTTGTACAGATTTGATGGAGTTATATAAAACAAAGGTAATTGGATAAATTACTTAGTATACACTTAAAAACGAAAAAACAAAACTAAAACCTACTACAGTTTAAAAGTTGGGTGAAAACATTTGGACCTTTAAACACTGAAAATCCTCACTGGGTCTTAACTGTTTGCCCTGTTTTTAACGCATGTGGTCCCATTAAAAATAAATTAAGACTAACTCTAAAAAGCAAATAATTTTGTTCAGTAATCAACAGCTCATAAAGTCCCTTTAACATTAAAGACAATGATTGCCTCACTTTTTAAAAAGGAAAAGAAAACTAGATGCATGTCTGAGACTCATGTGCCTGAGAGAACTTTTTTGTTTCTTTCAATTTTATGTTAATAATATTTTATTTTCCTCCATTGCCTTTTGAAGTCTAAGTTTAATAGCATGCCAGGCATTTTTTCATTTGTATAACTCATTATAAAGTTGTTAGTAGACTTTCAATTTTTCTTATGCTAGCATATCATCAGTTGACTTTTATGTAGGCTGTTTTCAAATACGTAAGAAATAGAGGGATTGTGGTAGGGGTAAATGTGGTTGAGACCAGATGAAGGAATTCATTCGAGTTTGTTAATCAAATATGTATATGTTTTTATGTGCATATGATATTGAAAAGGGTTATTTGAAAACTGTGAAGTTCTCTTCTATATTGTTTTCTCTGATACTACTTTTTTATGATTTGGATGAGTAACATATATCCATTGTATGCTTTACCTCTTCCCCTGTCTAGCTAACTTTCCTTTAAAAAAGAATAGAAAATATATACCAAAAAGCCTATACAGAGACAATGAGTACAAAGGCAAATACAGAAGGATCATTAGGCAGACACGTTAGGAAGTACTTGGAATGCCTCTTCGGAGTTACTTCTGTCATTGGGGAAGAGAGTTGGGTCACAGCATTCCTGAGCCTGATTTCTGTCTCAGTCTGCTATTGACTGACTTTCCGACCTTAGACAATCCACTTAACCTCTTTATATCTCAGATTTCCCATCTGAGGAGAGGAGAAATAATACTGCTCATTTCTCAAGGGTGTTCTGAGGTTTAATTAATTAGTCTTTGAGCAACACTGACTGGAGATGTGCAAAGATTTAATTTAAGCAGTATGTGAACTCGATGTCCAAATGAGGTAACAATTAATGACTTCCAAGAAGGTGGGAATACAAAACAAAAATAAGTAAATAAACTGTTATAAATTCTGTACTGGTATTATAACACACAAATTAAGTAACTGTTATAAAAATGAAAGATCTTTTTATTTTAAACTAAATTTTCTATCACTCCTGGTAGTTATATTCCCCACATATCCATACACATATATGTGTGTTTATATACACACACACACACTCACATACACCACACACACACACACACACATTCATATATATATATATATATATGTATATGTATATATATATATAGAGAGAGAGAGAGAGAGAGAGAGAGAGAGAGTCACATTATTAAAAATACAATTGATCATAATGATTGACAATAATGAGATCTAGCATTGATTTTGAGAATTAATTCTTGGTCAAATTATAAGGAAACTTTGACCAGTCAGTCCTTCAAATCTTTCATAGGGTAAGGTCACTAATGGCTATTTCTCACCTATTCTCATAATTCTCTGGAAGAGAGAAATTGATCAGAGGGTGGGATGGTAGGAAAATGAAAATGCCCCCCTTTAGTGACTGCTTTGTCTAACCACTTAACCCAAGGTACAGAGAGTGAGGAGAGGGTCTTGGAGCAGAACAAAACCAAATCTAACTAGAAAAAAACCCGTTAAACACACAAATGAAAGCAAATACTTCCTATAGTTTTTTGGAGAACTGAAACGTAGACACTGTTTCTTGTCTCACCTGCCAGTGCCTTTTTCCCAAGAAGTAATTAATCAGAGCTTCCTGGGAAAGTAGCAGTACCCAGGAGGGCAACAGCAGCTGACTAGTATAGCCCAAGAGACATGTCTTGCTTTTTCTGATGCATGGGGAAGTCTTGAACAAGCACAGACTACCTTAAGGAGTGAACTATGGTATCTGGAATGAAAGAGATTCATCATTCTAGCCAATGCAATTTAATTTTCCATTTCTATTTTCTCTGACCCTCTTTTTATGTTTAAGTATTGGGAGAATAATACCACTAGGAGACATGAAAGCCATCATAGATGTTATCATTGTGAGGTAGTTTCAGGAATATTGGAAATAAAAATCCCTCTAACTATGATCAATAATAACCAATAACTCATTACCAATGCTGGATTATACACAAAGAAAGAGATGGATATGTAAACGGTCAATCAACAGTTGTGTGAATAGAAGGAAAAACTTGGCATTGGGACTTTCTGGTGTAAGATACTGAATGCTTATCCTACAAATACCTTATGAGGCAGCTTCTTATTTATTATGTTAAATTACCCCCAAATGCCTATGCCAGCTCAAGGGAGCATTTATTCTCATCCCTCATCATGCCACCTCTCATACAGTAAGCCTAAAACTCCCCCAAACAAGTTATCATCAAAAATAATTAGTAAAAAGTATGAGTTGCAAGGCTAGTTCTCAGTATTATTGTGCATTGAAGTTTTGGGGGCATCTTATGTTAAGAGGACACATGCCAAAGGACAGGCAGGGAGGCATATGTGTGGGACACTGAAGAAATTGGTGGAGAGAATGGAAATCTATTAGATCTGTTTTTATTGTACCCTTGAGATTCAGGTAATTCTCATATCATTAAGACCAACAGATTCCATTTAAATGCTCCAAAGATGTTTATTAAATGCAGATAATTTTCACCATAACAAAATCCTCAGGCCATATTTCCATACTGCACTGTTGCAGAACTCCAAAGGAATATCATTTATAAATCACTCTTGACTAATAGTCCCTTAAGACTATTAGTTATCCAAATAAGCAAAGTTGACTCCTTGTAGAACGAGTTCCATCTGAGAAGATGCATTTCCCCTTCTCTTCCTCTTCCATTTCTTCTACTCATACATAGAGCTGATGTCCCATATTATATACCAAAAATTTAAAGAGAGGTAAGCATAGCTTTGAAGACCGTGTAATAATGATAGAAGTCAAGAGCCCAAACATCACAATATACCTCTATCTATATTGAATATTATAAAGCAAAAACCTCAGTCTTTGAAAAATATTCCCCTTTTATAAATAAGCAAAAATAACAGAGAATTGTTTCCAGCTATTTGTGGCTAAAATAATTTAGATGATTAGATTTAGAATTAGCGATGAATTGTTGCTCACTGACTAACGTGGAGAAAATTTCAAAAAGGGCATAATTAATTTCTTTAATTTTTTGTTTCCTTTTCTATTTGGTAAAACAGAAGGAAATAATCTTAAGAAATGACAGCATTGAAGGTATTGCCATGTTATATGGCCTGATGTATTACAATGAATTAAAAAAAGGGGTTTAGGTTTTTCTAAGAAACATCTGGCATTTTGGATACTTCTTTATAAGTAGAAGTAGTTAGAAGCAAAATAAGTTGAATTATACTTTTCTAAAATCTATTCTGCCATAATTTTATTTTATTCTGATAATTTTCCTTCTACAGAATCATAAATGTTCCCAAATGGGAAATATTGATATTCTTAAATCCATTAACATATCTCTATCATTTTTTAAAGCTCTGTGTGTTGCTTTTATCATTAATACCACCCTTTTAATAATTCAGTGATTCTGAATAATATATTTTTCCCCAATATCATTATCAATGCCTATTTATTTTCCATTTCTTAGAAAATGATTTAGTTGTGTGATCACAATATCTTAAAAAGTTAATAGAGATAGGAAATGGTCTGCCATGCTGTTCATTGAACAGCAAGTGTAGATAGAATATTATACACTATGAAGGGTACTAAGAAATGAGGAACCTGACAACTAGAATGCTCAATTTTACAAGTATAAAGTGAATCCAAATCTCTTAGCTAGAATTTAATTTCAGTTAATTTGATTTAACTAACAGAACTACTTTTTAATTCGGTGTTCTGAATAACTTCACTGAGTTTTTGTTTTCCATCTATAGATCCTCTGTCTTATGTGTCATTGCAGATTTAAAAAAAATCTGTACAATAGGCCTCTATGACTTAATTCTTGTCATATGATTTGGAAATTTCTCTCCATCATCCACAAATACATGCTCCAGAAAACTCTAATATTGCTTGTCATTGACTTAAGGTTTCTCCTTCTTTAGAGTAAATGGATAGAGACTTTATGATTCAGATTACTTAGGATTTTCAGGTAGACAGTGGAAGAGATAACCATAGTGAAATGTTACTTGCTAGTGTCTACTGATTTTTGTGATCAATTTTCTCCTCTTCAGTTGCTCAAGGAAGCCTATTATGATACCTCGTCCATTCTGACCAGTTAAGGCAAAGAGGGAAAATGTATGGGAATAATGTTGTTTCCTCCACCCAACCCACTAGGCCGGCAGTTAACCATCTTCAACACTCAGGCGCAAATAGCCATCGGTGGAAAGGACAAAGGGCGTCTCTTCCAAGGCCAGCTTTCTGGGCTCTATTATGATGGTTTGAAAGTACTGAACATGGCGGCTGAGAACAACCCCAATATTAAAATCAATGGAAGTGTCCGGCTGGTGGGAGAAGTCCCATCTATCTTGGGAACAACACAGACAACCTCCATGCCACCAGAAATGTCTACCACTGTCATGGAAACTACCACTACAATGGCTACCACTACAACCCGCAAGAATCGCTCCACAGCCAGCATTCAGGTAAGCTTTTCTCCAAGTAGTAATTGTTCCTATTTTCTTATCTCTGAATCATTGCTATCACTATCAGTGTTACTATGTAAATGAAAAGTCTGAATTACTATGTTTGTAGGTAGGATTCCTACAGATATGCATTGTACTAAGAACCAATTGTAGAGAAAGACAAAGTCACTGCTAAAGAACTTAGAAAAAAGTCTTGTGGGACTCATGGGTTATTATTCCTATCATATTTATCACTGAAATTGTAAAGCTGTTATTCAAAATGAACAAGGGGCAGTGCTTTCAGTATAAACTACTCCCTTGTCTTAGTTTATTACCTTTTCTTTTCAAAGAGCAGAAAGAGAAAATGGGGAAAGAAAAATCTGTTATCATATGAAAGATTATATCCCTGTTTAATTCTATTCATCTTCTCCAGATGGCTTTGCTGGAATATGAATTGTTCATTATTGAGGCCAATGGCACCATTAAATCAAGGACAATTGAAACTAGAGGTGCAACTAATCCTTGTAAATGCTCTTCATATTTGATATTGGGTCTTGATTAATCACTTGTCATTTTTTTTTGTCCATTGTGCTTCCTTTTTATTTGACCAACATCTTAATTACATTAGAACATTTAAAGATTTGAGTTTAGCTCTGCATGAAGTCCTTAGTTTTGTGGTAAGGTTTTTGTTTCTTCACTTGAGAGTAATTATACCCAAGCTAAAGCTTAATACTTTGTAGACTCCCTTGGCATTTCATAAATCTAGGTAGTTGGGGGTAGGATGTTAATCGAGTTATTAGCTTTAAATGCTCTGGCATAAAATAAAACATCCCAATTGCTTGTGGGGAAAATTGTCCCGAGTTTAGTTAATGTTTGTAGAAAATTCAGTAGATCAGTGCTTGTCCCTTCTGCTTCTTATTTTAAAGCGTTATCTAGGGACTTGAGTTTTGCCTTCACCTTTCTATTGACTTCATTAGACCCTGTAAACTTAAAGTCAGTAATCAATTAAATCTCCTATGTGCTTAAATTCTTCTGAATTTACTTTATAGTGGAGGGAGAGATACAGGTGCTGTCTTCCTTTTCTCTTTTCTTTGAGCAGAAATATTCAAACAGCTCTTTGACTCCACAAGCACAATTTCCAGCTGTATATACTGAAGATGTTTCAAGACAATTTCATATGCTTTAGAAAGGCTACTAAGAGCCTGATTAGCATAGTGATCTTATAGTTGCATGTGCTATAACATGCGTACCTACACACACGCTCAAAAAGAAAAAGCTCCTTCTCGACTGATATTAAAGCAATAACTCCTGACACTTCACTCTACTCACAGAAATGAAGATAAAAGCCAATGTATATTTCTATTATGGCTCTCTGTAGCTCAAGAGCCAATGTGTTTATTGTTGGTGAAAGGATAGTTCTGTTTGCACAGGTCTTGGCAGAGTTGTTTTGTTTCTGTCAGAATACATTGAGCTAACTCTGTAGGAAGCACAGGAGCAAAGGACTTTTTCTTTGCAGCAATGGCTGGTCCCCTAGTCCTTTCCAAGGCCAAATTCTCACTGACCTCAGGAGGATTTATTGTTACACAGGGATTCAGGGACCAAGCTATGACAATGATCCATTTTTGGCTTTCCCTTCTCCAGAAATTACACAAATGGGAGCATATTGCCTGACCTTCTACATCATTTCCAGAGCTACTGGAGAAGACTAGGTTACAAGGTGGAAAAGTTTTGCCAGCGATTATGACTCTGAACATCATATAACCTGTTGCCAGTTTAGGGGAGATAGACAGCTGAAGGATGCCCTCTCCAAAGGCCTTCCTTTGAGTGTGTATTTCTTCTCCTTTGAGTCCAATAATAATTTGGTTACATGTACATAGTGATCCTTTTACTTTTACCAAGGCTATAAAAATGATTTTAAAATCTGTCAACACTCTTTGTTTTTAAGAGTGTGTAAATACACATTCTTGGAGGAATGCCAACAACTTTGCAGACTTGATTACACTGGGATGAGGGATAAAAAAGCCCTCTGTTCTTTGTAAAGACTAGCCAGAGGGAATGGCTTTGTGTCAAGGGTTTTGTTTTTTGTAGCCATAAGAACTCTGCCCGGGGCTCCATGAAAATGCAATAGCTTTCCCTGTCTCCAAGACTATCTTGTTTCAAGCACGGTACATTCTGTAGAGCACATCAGGTCTGTGTTAGGACTGGGGAACCTAACAGCCCTTACATTCTTCGCAAGGTTTAAGACAAGTCTAGACTCTGGGGACATAAAGTGAAAATGTCTGTCCCAGAAGCTTAGTGGTGCTGGGTGATGCAGATAAATTTTTTGGATAAAATGGGTAGTGAGTTCATAGGGCTTAGATCTTTGGGAAATACTTCAGAAGGGGGGTTGGAGATGAGGAAGCCTAGATTTCATCTGATGCATCATTCACCGCTTTATCTATGTGTACAATCTTAACAACATTTTTTCAGTGCACTGTGTTCTATCCTCCTTTGCTCCTATAGCATTGTCAAAGCAAGGTTGTCCTAAGATAAAACTCATTCTGGAGAAACAAAATAAGCATGTGAATTCACAAATATAAAAACCTGGCTATTTAAAAATCCACTACTTCTTTCTTAAAGCATAAACTAAGAAAGCATCATTTGAACAGTTCATTTCCAGTGGGGCTTGATCGGTGTTGATTTCAAACCAAAGAAAAACAACCAAGTGCTTTCAGTGTTGCTCTTTACTGTGTGTGAATGTGAACAAATAGTTCTTGACTTGATTTGACCCTCCAATGCTTGAGTCTCCTGGAAGTAATTGGTTGATCTTTCTGATACTCCAGTTTGTTACAGATAAGACTGTGGGACTAATTGTGGTGACAGGGACTATGTTAAATTACAACCAGGTGCTCAAGCATCAGATCTTCACCCTCTATTAAGAAGGGTGTCTCTAAGAGCCCCCTTGAATAAAAAAAGTAAAGTCAATTATTGAGAAATGACAGGTTGGATGATAATTCTCAACTAAAGGTCTAATACTTAGTATCCCCTCGGTAAATATTAACTGATGAAAGAAAAAACAATACAAGCTTCATTATGTTATCTTATAGTCATTTACCAACTGGAAATAGCATTGCTTGTATAGTTTCTCCTTCACCAAAATGGTAAGGGTGCTTTTGAAAATTCATTTTCTTTTAGAAGTAGTAAGGCTATAACTTAGTGATTGAATGCCTACACTTGGAGTCTGCTTGCCTGGGTTTAAAACCCAGTTCTTCCTTGTACTAGCTATGTGGCTATGAACAAGTCATATGTCACAGTTAACTATCACTGTAAAAAGAACTATTGCATAAGTTAGTGGCTTTTAAATAGCAGTCATGTTTTTAGATCTTATGATTTTGTGGGTCAGAAATCTGGCCAGGGCCTGGCTAGGCAATTCTGATTTTCAAGGAGATGGCTCAGGTCACTAAGATGTACTCAGCTGAGGGTTGCTCTGCTCCAGAGTAGACCTTGTACTTTGATGGGTTAACTGGAAAGAGTGCGTTTAGTTGGAGTCTTTTCCTTTTCCCTGTAATCTCAGAACCTCTCCATGTGGTCTCTTTCACAGAGTAACTAGACTTCTTTCATGGAGATTTGAATCTCACAGAGAGAGTGTTACAAGAGATAGGAAGTAGAGCCTGCCAATTTCTGTTGGTAAAAGTGGTCACAGAGCTTTCTCACTGTTGGGGAATAAGAGACATAAACCTCACTTCTCAATGGAAGGAGAAGCAGGAATTTATAGCCAAACTGAGTCTACTACATTGCAGAAAAGGGAGAGAGGAATATTAATAATACCTATATTATATACTGATTGTGAGGATAACTGATTTAATATAGTAAAATACTTAACACAAGAATATCATGCACAGTAAGTTTATATATGTTTTAACCATTATTTTTATTATAGTCCATCTCCAACACTTGTTATGTAAATCAAAACCTGCTTAAGCAAGGATCTATCTCTGCAAATGGAGCTGCTTCTATTGGCAAAAGTATCTGTAGTTCAGAGCATGAATAGGAGGTTTTGGGGTCTAGGAGGATCAGGCTCGAATTTGGAGACTGTTAGTTTATTTGGAGAATATTTATTTGTCAGAATTAGTTCTGGCAAATCAAGTCTTTAAGATCTCAGGAATTGACTTATGTGACAACTCATCACCCATCTTTAATTCTCTCTTCAGTTTTTAAACCAACTTGGAGTTCTTACAGTTTTAGAGAATGTGTCCTGTTATGAAATCAGTCTACGTATACATATTTAGAGGTGACAACAAAAAAGAATCCAGGGACCCTTCCCTCATGGAGCTTATAAACTAAAAAAGACAAAAGGGCTTGACAAGAGCTATCAATAGGAGGCAGTACCTTGTGAATCTTTGTGTGTGCTATGTGGAGAGGGTGATACTTGGGATAGCCAAGCTGGATCCCAAGGATACAAGGATTTGGAATTAGGATGTATGAGGGGGTTGGAACTGGGCTTTGTAGAAGGAATACAATTGAGTAGGTGGTGAGAGAAACAAGTTCTAGTTTGCATCTCAGAAGTTAAACTGTGGAAGGTAGAGGTGATTAATTCTTGGGGCAATTGACAGTCAAGTCCAGCTAGAATAGAGTGGATAGAAGGGGTTTGTGAGAGGTAGGGGCTATGGCTACTGAGAACCTTGGCCTGAAACCCCCTAAATGGCAGAAGGATGAGAAGAGAGAATGGAATTGGTTCCCAATAAATCTTCTCCTCAGGGATGTCCCAGCTATCTCTCACATACATCCACTACAGCTGACCCCAATGTGGTAGGTCAGCTTCTAAAATGGAGATTATCAACTCAGTCAACTCTAAAATATCTTGGCTCTCAGTTCAGTTTAGAAGAAGGAAAATGTGAGAAACAAAAATCTTTTAGCATTAACTTTTGGCCACCATGAGCAAAATTCACCAAAGGAAGAGGAAAGGACCAAGAAAAAAAATAGTTTCAAGAATTACATGTGTTCTCTTACCTTAGGCCTCTGCCCAAGTT